CCCCCCCCCCCCCCGCCCCCCGTCCCCGGCGGCGGGGCCCCCTGTTAGGACCACTAAGTAATATCAATCTTTGTGAAATGTATAACTGATTGTTTACCAGAAGAGGTCGTTCCCCTCTGATCCCAGCTGAGCTCCCCAAGTTGATTTTATCACTTTGGGATTATAATGTGTATAATAAAATATTTGGATTGAATTATAATATTATTTCTCTTTGTCCTATTAAAAGACCTCCATAATACATGTCTATCATATAAAAATATACGAAAAGTATATGATTAATATACATTTTTGAAATTAATATAATAAACAAAGTATTAGGCTCGATTAAATAAAAAATAATACAATCCAATATTTTATCTCCTCATAATACGTCTGTCAAACGAGCTCTAAAAGTTTAACTAACATTTAAGTTATCACTCTCTCTCTCTCATATCTATTTATATCCATATATTGAATAACACTATTTATTTTATATATAATAAATCAGCTTTATATATAATAAATCAGCTAGAAAGTTAAATATTTATCCCCTATACATTTTTCCCCCAAAAATATCACATCACTCAATTCTCATGTTCAATAATTTAATATTTAGTTAATTAGGAGTTTAATACAACTTTTATTTCATACATTATCCATACACGATAATGTACATATGTTAAATAAATTTTATCGAGTTATGCATTTTGAGAAAATTTTGATGATATTTTTAAGAAAATAATAGATAGAAATTAATTTTAAATGAAGTAAGCAAATAAATTGATTTTAAAATTAGTATAGCGGGATTAATTTTTTGACCACAAGAATCTTATATAGTACCATTTAAACACAAAAAAAAGTAACATTCAAAAATAAAAAGTAAGAACATTGAATTATTATTTTAAAAAATAACAATAGTAACATGATCAACAAAAAAAAAAATTAATATTGAATATTGATATTTCGAAAAAAATAATAACATTCAATATTAATAGTACATGCTCATTAAATAAAATAGTAATATGCTCAATTAAAAATAACAACATAAAAACAAAAAATAACATTAAAAAATAAAAAATAGGAAAATTGAATAATATTTGAAAAAATAGGAGTAGTAACATGATCAACAAAAAAAAAATNAGTTAAAGAAATTATGGTCAACCACAAGAGATTTGAGATCAATAGACAAATGATGCTTCTAATTTCATTTGTTAATGAGTAATGTTACAAAGGCTTAATTTAGGAACCTAATTCAATACAATCATTAGATTAATTGTGAGTTTTAATATTAGTTAACTAATTATTATTCATATATGAAGACACAATGTTAATTATAAAATTTCAACACACAATGACAGTCAATCTAAACAATAATTTAGATTGGGTTTTGAGTTTTTGTACAATAATGATTTATTTTTGGTATAAGTAATAGCTTGAAGATTTTATTTATGGATTGAATATTTATTTTTTTTGTTTGTGTGGAAATGGTGATGGCGATTAGATTGATTTTGAAAAAAAAAATTGATACAATTGGTTTCACATATTTTTTTAATTGGTCACTTGTTATTTTTTTATTGGTAACTTGACTTTTAATTTTTTTTTTTTTGCTTTTTTGGTGCAATTGATATCACTTTTTTTTTCTATTGGTGATTAGAATGAGCTTTATTTGGAAAATTTGGAGTCCAGTCCCTCTTAGTGGACTTATTTGTTGATAAATCCATCAAGAAAACTTGTTTAATATTATGTCTATTTCGATCTTCATTGTTTAAAATACCCTTAGTAGTTATAGTTAATTAAAATAAATTTGAAAATTAAAAACTTCTAAATTTTAAGGATTCGTTTAGTTGCCATATTAAAAATGGATGAATTGAATAAAGTAATACAATCTAATATAGTACAGATGGATACAAGACAAGATTAAATATGATATTAGAATAATACGTAATTTTATCTAATATTTAACAATACAACATCGAATTAATCGATTAATTCGCCCCCC